GAACACACAACTCTGCTTTTCAAGGGAGAAAAACTCTCACATCCAAATCAAAATTACTTCAGTGACCATGCATTTCCTAGAGGGAAAAGTGGACAGCAAACGTGATATTCCAGAAATCTATAAACGCCTTTTAAATAGAGCTCAGCAAATATTATGGAGAGAAAATACACATTGTAGCCATGGATTTATATTATTTAGATACCTTTCCAGCAACTCAAGAAAAGCACGCCAACTGTCCTAGCAACCTACTCCCCTAGAATTCAGGCAAAACTGTAAGCACCTTCTCTACACTGACAGTTCCTGTTCTAGGATCCGACTGTGCAGCTGAGCTCCAGACTCACACAGGCCTGTGTGACAGCACCTGGTGCCAACTAGGCATTTCCAATTTCACATGTCCTCAGCAGAACTCTTGACCCTCCTCCCCAAACCTGCTCCTGCACAAATCCTATTGACTTTACTTTCTAAATATACCCAGAACCTGCTTTTGCCAATTCTACCAGTACCCCTGATCCAAGCCAGTATCGTCTTAGCTGGATTATTGCAATCATCTTCTAGCTGGTTTGCCCAATTCCGCTATTGCTTTGATTTTCCTGTTTTAATTTTCCATAGAGAAGCCTTACGATAATCCTTTGAAGGCACAAATCAGTCACGACCACATTTAAAACCTAAAATCCCTAACAATGGGTTCTTCGTGAACTTCCTGCTCTTTCTTTCTTCCTTGCTCCCTGATACTCTAACTGCACTGGCCTTCTTCTTGTTCCTTGAAAACACAAGCCTCATGCCTTAGCATTTTCCCCTAGTCCACCCTTCCCTTTGACGGGTGCATGATGTGACCCTGCAATTTGGTCTCCTCCAAACGTTCCTGAGGCGGCATTCCTGACTCTCCTATCCAAAACAGTCCTTGTTTCTACCCTTTACTCTGAAAACAAAAGAAAAAGTTATACAAGTATTTGTTTTCATTCATTAACCAGGTCTCCTCCATTTGCACCTTAAGATAGTGGGTTTTTGTTTGTTTGTTTACTGCTACTTCCCAGGCTTTGAGCAGGGCCCCGCACAGAGTAGGTGGTACTCCAAAAAATACTGTCGAATGAATGAATGAGTTCATTTCTCATTGGCTTTTTCAAGAGGAAAGAACATGGTATTGATTTACAATTACAGCCCAAGACAGTCTGGTGCTGCTAGAGAGCAGCTGGGTGGCCCCGAGACACTGAAAGCACTGTGATCCAAGCCTACTGTCCCAACAGCTGAGGATGGGTCTCTAAGTGCCGTCAAGAGTGCTGTATGAGCCAATCAGCTGTAAGGAAGAAAACATAGATCCATCGGAGACTAAACAGAGGGAAGAAATTATCCGAGGCTAGGTGTGCAGATGGAGGGCTCAGTTTTAACATATTGCTGGAGCAGATTTTGTTTTAACTTAACCTATTTTCTAGTAGTCTTTTTTTTTTTTAATGCCTCCATGGGTAGCAAGTGCTTTTCTGGATATTGAGTCTCTTTTTTGGTGCTAAGGCAGAGTACATGGACTGATTTCTCTGACTTTGAGCAACCCCAGATGGCCCCACTTGAATAGAAAAGAAGTTGAAAGAAAGTTTAATCTTGTAACTCTTCTATAAACAATCTGGGAGGGGGAAAAAAAAAACCGGTTAGGTTTCTGGCTCCTGGTATTTTACTTATGAGGTCATGCAGCAGAGGGAAAACAAAGCAGAATTCGTAATTAGGGAGACTTGGACCCGGTCCATCTTTGCCATTGGTGCTACTGAGAACAAGTTTACTTCGCTACTGCAGGCCTGTGCCTTCACATGTGAAATGAACTGAGCAAGATCCACATTATTAACACTCTACAGTTCTGCATTCCAAAAATGAAAACGCGTTTAGAGGACAGACCAGGCCCTTGGCAACCGGAGACGGTAAAAAAGAAAAAAAGAAAACAGGGCCGCGGGGAACAAACAGCAAGATCTAAAAGCCGGTCCCTCGATTCGGACTCCGTAGAGCGTTCACATCCTCTCGGCCTGAAGGCCAACTCTCACGGTACTGCCAGAAGACACGCAAAACCTTTTCCTCCAAAAAGCCTTTCCTGTGAATTCCTATTAATTCACCCTCAGAGGTGCATCTTGCCGTGAGCAGCAGGGATCGGTTCTAAGCTAGAGCGGCGCGGCCCGCCCCGTGGGCCCCGTGGGCCCCGTGAGCCCCGTGGGCCGCGCGGGGCCGTCGAGCCCTCGCCGGGCGGCGCTCCGAGCTGAGAGGCGCTCTCAGCGTCAAGTGCACACTGGAGTTCGGACACCTAGAACGAGAGCTGAACGTAAACTCTCCATTCGTGTCGACCACAGGTTGAAATGGTCGTATTTCGGACGTACTGGACTAAATTAGCACGTGTGACTAAGCCTAATCGCACGTGCCCCTCGCGGCACGCGCGCACGTGGCTCCCAGAAGCGTTAAGATGCCGTCCGCGGCCCGGCTCTCTTCGTGGCGACGGCGCTGCTCTAGCTCAGGGAGCAGAGCCGCGCAAGGGCTCAGCCGCGGCCTCCGGAAGCCAGCGCCGCGCCCACGCGCCCCCGAGCCCGCTCGCTCGCACTCACTGCGATCCTGCCGGGCTCCCCGCCGCTCCGGCGCCCCCTCGCCCGGGAGGCTGCGCTGCGGGCCGGGGGCGCGGGCCGGGGGCGCGCGGCGCGGGCTCGCGGCGGGCAGGGCGCCGCCGAGGGGCGGGGGCGGGGGCGGGGGCGGGGGCGGGGGCGGGGCGGGCGCCGCGGGGGACGGCGCCGCCGCTGGGGGGGGTGGCGCCGCCCGCCCGCCGCCGCCCGCGCTCGGCGCCCCGACCCTCGGCCGCGCGCGCTGCGGAGCGGACACGCGCTCGAGCCGGGGGGCCTCCGGGCTTGAGAGGGCGAGCCCGGCAAGGCCGCGGCCTTCCGAGCGGCCGTCGCCGTTACGAAAACGCTGACGCTTCGTCCTCGCCGGGCCGGAGACAGACGACTGATTCCGCAGGCGCCAGCGCCAACAGCTTTTCAGACTCGCTTATTTCTAGACCGTGGAAAATGCGAATTCTCTTCACTCTTACCTTGTTAAGCATTTGCAAAGCAAGCTCTGCGTGGATTGGTTACGGACTGAAAAGCATTTCTCAAGACAAGATTTACCTGTAGTACATAAAATTTCGTTGCAGTAAACAGATTATATTCTTAAATTCAACCCTAAGAAATTGTCCAGAAGTAAATACGATGCATTATACACAAACGATGATTGCTGAATAAATGCCGGTCACGTAAAACTCTTGTCCAACTTTTAACAGGACTGATTTGATTCTTTAAATAGAAGACTTTTCTCCTCGTCTCTCTGTGCAGAGTAGGTACAAATGGACTTTATGTCTTGTCCAGATAACCGCACCCCCTGATTCACACACCTAGCCAAATCTGTGTGTAGGTCTGTAACTCCTGCTGTCCTCTAGGGCAAAACTTGCGCTTACCTTGTGGGAAAACAGAAGAAACCTGAACACAGTGGGCAATGATAGTACAAGGAAATAAAACATAACAGAATCCGTACAAGTCCATGCTCCCTTGGGTTCTCTTCTCATAGGAGAACGACCAAGTGTTCGCCCTTCGATGAGTTTGAACACAAATCATTTTTCTAAATGACCTTAAGAGGTCTCATCAAGTAAGAAAGTGAATGTAGTAAGGGAAAGCATGGATCCAGTTAGAATATGTGCTTTAAATCACACTGCAAAAATAAAATAAATAAATCACTGCATAAATAACAGGGAATTTAGGTTCCAAACTTCAAAATTTAAAAATACCTGTAAGTTCTCACACTTCAGTGTCTTGTCAACGGCGTGTCCTGGGTTTTGCCTTTTGCTTTCGGTTGGTGAGAGGGTCTCGCCTAGGCTGTGTGACGTGTTGGGGTTTAGTGCCTTCCCTGTACGCGTCTGCCTTCCTCATCTGGTTGGCGTGTCCTCTCTCCCGCCACAGGCGGTCAGCTCTGAGCCTGGGCAGTCTGGGGCGACGGCACCCCTCCGCCACCGGCTTTGTTCTGTTTGGTTGGGGTTTTGTTTGTGATGTGGTTGCCAGGAGACGTGTTATGGGGAGAAAACAGAAATATTTCAGAAGTAAAAAAAAAAAAAAAAAAAAATACCTGTAAGTTTTACCCTCCAGGTGAAGATGGGAATGTGGGAAAACGCAATCTGCTCACCAGCATTCAATCATATGATCTGACCTAATTCCTAGATTTCTGAGATACACTGATCTCAAAAAGTCTGCGGTTTTCATCCTGTTCCCCACGGAGGAAACCCAACTGATGTTCACAGCCTGACAGGCCAACACGGGCATTCCTGACCCACCAAAGGGACGCCCCGTCAGACTCTCCCGCTCAAGTAAACACGTCACAATGCAAAGTGAGAATGATACTATTGTAGGAATAAACCTAACACCTGCTCCAAGCCTACAGGAAAAGTGCCACACTCACAAACATAAGGCCCATTGTACCGAATTATGAGCAAGACCCTTCACAAGTCCCGTTTCACTTGTAAATATTCTTGAGAGGAGGTCACATTTTATAAGCTGCCGAAACCCCATGTGAACCATTGCTTCTTTCAGGTTCAAGGGGACAACCAGCAAATACAAGGGAGATCAGGCAGCCCCCCTGGGAAGGAGAGTCCACAGATGAGGGATCTAGAGGAGGCAGCCCACCTCTTCTAAGAAATGAACCAAAAATCACCCCCTGGAAATTATGTTCCTTGGAAATCCTTTCTTGGGACACATACAGCGATTTTTGTATTTACTTATCTGCTAGTCCTAGCTCTCTTGTGAGACATAAACATATTTCAAGAATGGAAATGATGTGCTCGCTACCACGGACCAGGGTACTAAGACAGAAGAGAGAGGGTTTATAGTTCTTAGCATTCCAAATAAGCCTCATTTCAAAGTTCAGGTGCTTTAAAGAAGGTTCCATTCTGTTACTTGACACAGGGCAGAATCAGTAAACAGTCTGTTCTAATGAAGTACTGCATCCGAGTGAAAGCATAATGTGCAAGGTGTTTATTGTAATTACTCCTATGTGAAGGTCCTCATTTTTGGACAACAGCAAGGCATTTTATTATCCACTCTTTCCACTCCTTAAAGGCTTCCACGGGTTTTGGTAAATTCACATTATCTTCCTGACTGTGTTCCGTGCCGACTCCAGGGGTGTCAGCAGACTCATCTTCAATCCACTTCACCAGCGCCTTGAAAAACAAAATCCAGATTCACATGTTAACAAATCAGGGCAAAACAGTCTGAGGCAGGAGAAACACGTTGGCTTCTAAATCACGTTATCTCAGTGACTTTTATTACCCCGGGAAGATGTTCCATCTGATAAAGATGCTTGTGAATATGAAACAACACATACTGGGTGAAGGAGCAGTTACCAAAAATATACAACCTACGATTACAAATGATGGTCAGAAGTGTGTAGAGGAGGGAAGATGAAAGAGAAACGCACAAATCCTCACAGGTTTTCCTGGATGGGAAGATTATGCTTTTCTCAACGTGCCGAAGGTTCCACAGGGCCCTGGGCAAGTAAGTGCTTTGGAGCTGGTGTGGAAATGGGTCGCCATGTAAGCGTGCACATAGGTGTGGACAGACACATGTATGTAAAGATCCCTGCGTGAGCAGTCACACCCACGAGGAGGTAGGTGAGGACTACGGACATGTTTGTGGGCATGCGTGGACATGCACACACGCACCAAGATTACGTACTTTCCCTCTTCCTCCTTAAAGAAACTCCTCCTTTCCTCTGAGTGAAGAGCATACCCCTGTCCCGTATTTGGCAAGATAAAGCATCTCCACATATACTTGTGGTTTTAAAAAATAATGAACTCTGCCACACACATCAACATTCAGCCTGTTCGCTCAAGTCGAGCGAAGGGGGACTACAGGTGGATAACCTCCTCCACCGTCTCTCACTGAACTGCAAGTGTAAGGCACCCAGAGACAAGGCAGTTTTTAAGAGGAGATTTCTTTGCGTGTTTTTTGTTGTTTTTTTTTTAAACCACAGCTTCCTGCTTATCTCGGCACTAATTTCCTCTGATAAATTACAGCTCCCGAGAAGGGCCTAATAGAAAATGGCAGTTTGCTACTTATATAACCACTTCCCCCCCTTCTTTTGCTTCCCCTCGCTTACTTGGTATCTCTCTCTTATGTTGAAGCCCACAGCGCACCGCAGCTTGCGTAAACAGATAGGGCAGAGGTTGAGGGGGCGCCGGTCAGCCTCTTCCAAGTGGTTGGAGCCTTGCATGAGGCATGCAAGCCACTGGCAGTGTCGAAGTCCGAATATGTGTCCGATCTCATGGGTTAAAGTCTGCAAGACATTCGCAGCAAGGCTTTATAGCGCCACCATCATCGAAGAGTCACACCTGCCTTCTTTTTCTTGCTTTTCCAAGAAACAAATTTAGAGGAATCAACTCCCTTCCCAAAGACTTAATCCTCGGTTTCCCTAATTGTCTTACCGCCTTCCTTCCTATACTTAATTACTTCCCCCGGAGCAGGGTTTCTCAGCCTTGATACATGTGACATGTTGGGTGGGACCACTCTTTGCGTCAGCACGGTGGCGGTGGGGGGAGGACACAGCTGTCCTGCGCACTGTAGGATGCTTAGCACCATCCCCAGCCTCTACCCACTATACCAGGAACACCCCCCGCCCAACTGCAACAACCGGAAGGGTCTCTCGACATTGCCAGAAGTCCCCGGGTGGCCAAATCAGCCCCGGTGGACAGTTGTTGCTGTAGACCAGAGGGTGGGACGCCTGTTAGGCTTCAGATTCCGGCCCTTCCCCCACAGATGCCGAGTCAGCAGGTTTGGGAGGACGGGGCCTCAGCCTGCATGTTACCGGGCACGCCAGGTGACACTGATGCGGGGAATACACTCTGAAAACACTGTAGCTCTCAAACCCTAAGGAGGGGTACTTAGGAAAACAAAACTTCCCAGCTGCAGGTAAAGCCTCTGTCTCTGGCTACAGAGACTGAGGGGGGGGACACGACGATAACGGACTGGAAATCAGGAGATGGGCTTTCCGAAGAGCAGGGGTTGGGGAGGAATCAGGAGCTGTGAGCAGAACTAACCGCAGCAAAAGGCAGCTTTGGGCCAAGAGGAAGCCGTCCTCAAGACACCTGAGAGCAGAGGCCTCTAAGAGCCGCTTTACGTGATAACCACGACAGCTTCAACGAGTCAGTTAGCTTACTCATAACAGAATTCTGGAATTAAACTAGTGGCGAGGATGTGGGTACAGCCAAGGCTGCTTGTTGCTACTAATCGGACAAAAGCCAGCACGGATGCCGTGAATTTCAGGATTAAGGTATCCATTCTAATCCTGTTTCTGTTGATAACTTCAGTCAAACAATATCCACCAAAAGTACACAAGCAATACAAACTCATTTATAATAAGACCTTAAGGGCTATTGATAGACAATTCAGGGAATTAAGAGCTCTTTAAAAAACATTCCTGTTGGGGCGCCTGGGTGGCTCAGTTGGTTAAGCGACTGCCTTCGGCTCAGGTCATGATCCTGGAGTCCCTGGAGCGAGTCCCTGGAGCGAGTCCCTGGATCGAGTCCCTGGATCGAGTCCCACATCGGGCTCCCTGCTCGGCGGGGAGCCTGCTTCTCCCCTCTGACCCTCCCCCCTCTCATGTACTCTCTCTCTCTCATTCTCGCTCTCTCAAATAAATAAATAAATCTTAAAAAAAAAAAAATTCCTGTTGGATTTCTTTTTTTTTTTTTTTTTAAGATTTTATTTATTTGAGAGAGCAAGAATGAGAGAGAGAGAGAGTACATGAGAGCGGGGAGGGTTAGAGGGAGAAGCAGGCTCCTCCCCTAGCAGGGAGCCCGATGCGGGACCCGATCCCGGGACTCCAGGATCATGACCTGAGCCGAAGGCAGTCGCTTAACCAACTGAGCCACCCAGGCACCCTCTTTTTTTTTTTTTTAAATGACTCACCTTACAGGAACGAAGCAGCAAAACACTGGTCACTTCAGGAATATAATAGTTATCAAAAACGGAATAGTCGCTTGAAGATACTTTCTGCAGCTTGTTCACTTTGCCTTCATAGTGTGAACTGCAAAAATCACTACCATACCTGGCAAAGCTGAATATCCCCACACCTAGAAAAGGAGGACAAGCAACATCAGAACGGGAGTAAGGTTCCTGAATGGAAAACCAAAAAAGAGAGGCTGTTCGCGCGTCTAGTCATTGGGTGCAAATCTGTGGTACTACGTTCACGGTCTAATACGCTTAAGGTTTGCCAAGACAAAGGAGGGCCTTTGCTCCAGATTTCCCCACCAAAATCTTCTGCTATCCACACTGCCCCGCCCTGTAAGACTCAAGGGTCTTGAGATCAAATTCTTGAGAAATAGAAAGTTCTAGAATTTCCCCCCCACACACACAATTAGTCTTTTTTCTCAGAGTAACCCAAATCAAGGACTCCAAGAGGAGTGAGGAAAAATGGTGACACACATACCACGCATCCATGACTTTACTCTTTAAGAACACAATAAACAGACCTCTAGGTCCTACAGCTCAGTGAGGGTTCCTTCACTGCCCTGATGCGTGGAGACCATGTTGGACACCATGCCTTCCCACAGAACACCCACCCCCCTCCCCCTTCTCACTCAGAGCACGACTCTATGTGGCTGCCTTCGGGTGACCAGAAAAAACACCCTTGTAACTGACTTCCTGTTACACCAAAGCTTCTCTCAACCATCCCTGCACACATGAGAACAAGGTTTGCTGCACAATACATTCTAAAGGGCATGGCTTTATAATGTGACTTGTTTACGTTGTCATTTTTTTTATGCCTATTTCCGCTGTTATCTGAAAGTAATAAGGCATTTTTTTTTTGTTAAAGAAATGAGTTCACAGTAAGTCTGTCCGATCCAACTTGATCCAAAGAGAATGCTCCTCACCCCACCCTTCAAAGTGTCACCTTATATTTGATATTTATTTATTTAATTTTTTTTTTTTAAAGATTTTTTTATTTGAGAGAGAGAATGAGAGAGAGAGAGCACATGAGGGGGGAGGGTCAGAGGGAGAAGCAGACTCCCCGCCGAGCAGGGAGCCCGATGCGGGACTCGATCCCCGGACTCCAGGATCATGACCGGAGCCGAAGGCAGTCACTTAACCGACTGAGCCACCCAGGCGCCCCTTATATTTGATATTTAGAGAGAGAGCGCATTCTGAAAGTTAAGGAAAAACAAACTCATGTCACAGCTGACCTCCTCTATCCTCTGGCCAACCAAGTGTGGGCATGATTTCACTACAATACCGTGAGCAAGAACATTTTTTCCTTCTAATAACCCTACGGATGGGAGATTATTTTTAGTAATTATATATTTCTCCATTTTAAAATCCCCATCTTTATAAACTTGGGAAAGTACAGTCACTTATAGTAAGATCCTATCTCACTGCATGGCAGATCAATGCTGCTAGCTTACACCTTCTTTAGACCATGTAATATTTAAGAAACTTACTAAAAAGGGGGGGGGGCTTAAAGTAGAAACATTTTAGGAGAATGCCTCCTGGCCTCCTCAAACCTGCATAAGATAAATTAGCTAGCAATGTCTAGATAAACTGTTTTAACATTTTTTTTTAATGTTTCCATCGCTGTCAGATTAATTATAAAAGGGGAGATAAAAATTTAGCTCATAAAAGTTTATTTCTGATAGGGGCGCCTGGGTGGCTCAGTCGGTTAAGCGTCTGCCTTGGGCTCAGGTCATGATCTCAGGGTCCTAGGATCGAGCCCTGAGTCCTCCCAGTCCCCATGTGGGGCTCCCTGCTCAGCGGGGATGTCTGCTTCTCCTTCTCCCTCTGCCACTCCCCCCCAGCTTGTGCTCTCCCTCTCTAATAAATAAATAAAATCTTATTTTAAAAAAGCTTATTTCTGATAGAAAGATAGCTCTTTTTTTTTTTTTTTAAAGATTTATTTGACAGAGAGAGACACAGTGAGAGAGGGAACACAAGCAAGGGGAGTGGGAGAGGGAGAAGCAGGCTTCCCGCCGAGCGGGGAGCCCGACGCAGGGCTCGATCCCAGGACCCTGGGATCATGACCTGAGCCGAAGGCAGACGCTTAACGACTGAGCCACCCAGGCACCCCAGAAAGATAAGCTCTTACAAAAATCAGAAAGACAGCCATGGCCAGAGTGTCCAATAGAGTGTGTTGATGGGGGATGGGGGTGCTCTAGGAATGTAAATGGAGAAGTCACCAAAGAAGAGGTAGAGGGAAGAAGAGGCTCTATGGTGCCCTGGGCTCCCACCTCTAATGAATGTCTCAGAAAGAGAAATGTCTAATAGAAAGAAACATTTGTTAAAGACAGGGCCCACCCCCAACAAACCCTGAGGTTAATGTAACACCTGGACAGTCCACGAACCAGTACTCTGAAAGCAAGGTCCCGGATACCTACTCCCTATCCCCAGAGTGCTAAGGGACGACCACTCCCCTTAGTGCTTTGGACTTTCCCTTCCAAACCTGTCAGATCCTAGGGGATGAGGGTAGAGAAATTACAGCAAAAATGGAGGGGTGGGGGGAAAAGTGGAGAGAAGGCAAAAAGAAAAAAAAAAAAGGCAAAATTGGATTTGCTTCCAGATCCTTTCCTACCCTATTACCATGCAGAATTCCTAATGAATCAAGTTTTACTATATCTCAAATCGAAAACTGAAGGTGACTTTTTATAAAAGTAAAATAACAAAATGTCATGAGACACAGGATAAGAAGCTTACACACTTGTAAGTCAGCCTATGGTTACTCTATCTAGATAAGAGAACTAGGAGAAGAATTGAAAAGCAATTAGCAAGATTTTCACTTACCTTAATGATAGTACAAACATCCCTAAGGTCTTTAATTCACCTTGCCCCTGAATTACTGACATTTACCATCTGTTGTGCTGAACGTCTATATGATGTTGGCATATAGACACACTTTTTATGTATCAGCACTGTTAGGTAAACTATCTTAAAAGGACTCTCTGAAATAGGTATCATTGGCCTCAAAATCATGTAGGTAGTGAAGGGCTCATCAGATGGATCATCAGAATCCATCCACAGCATACTACTTCCCGAGCACAGCACGATGCACCAGAAATATTATGGTCCTAAGTATCAAAATGATAATTGGCTGGGATTTCTTCCCTTTATCAACAGTTTCAAATATTCTCAAGTTGAGGAAATTTCTACTAACAATGTCAAAAAGGAATACCATCTGTCAAAGAGGCCTGTCCAAAGACAAAATTCCAGGAGTCTCGTGGGTAAAGATCAATCATTGTTATTCCCACAATACAGAAGGCATCTCTAGGTTTCTTCCTTTTTAAGAACCTCAGGATGTGCCCTATTTGAAAAAAAAAAAGTACGTGTGAGATTATATATATATATATATATATATCTCCATACATGTATCTATCTAATATCTCCTTTACTCAATTTAAATTGTAAAGTTGTTTAATTCACCTGCATGAATTTGTAGGTTTTGTGTGTTATCATTGATTCTAAAGGAACACCTCGTTACAGAGACAGGAACCGGTTCTAGGAGTTTCACTGTCAAGCCATAGAAAAATGCTTCACAGTAGCCCTTGAGCCACTTAATATATTCTTCACTGATAATTCTGGTGTTTCCTAGAGATCCTAGAAGATGGAAAAAATGTAAGACAGACTTTAAGATGATTAAACATTCAGTCTATCTCATTCTATAATTAGAAATTTGGTATTAGAGGGGCGCCTGGGTGGTTCAGTTGGTTAAGCAACTGCCTTCGGCTCAGGTCATGATCCTGGAGTCCCAGGATCGAGTCCCGCATCGGGCTCCCTGCTCAGTGGGGAGTCTGCTTCTCCCTCTGACCCTCCCCCTTCTCATGTGCTCATTCTCTCTCTCAAATAAATAAATAAAATCTTAAAAAAAAAAAAAAGAAATTTGATATTAGAAGCAAACTAACTCCAGATTTTCAATAAACCTTTACCACTCATTGATGTGAATATGAATTACAAAGAAACAAAATGTCCCCTTTTAAGGCGATTTGGGTACAAAACTTCCACCACTGTAATGAATGTCAAAAAATGATCCTAAAACTGCCCACTTGAATGAGAACAAGTGGGCTCTCCCTGGCAACAGCCCCGTTGCAAACCAACCCAAAGCCAGCATGTTACCAATGTATACCAATGCACTGTATATAAATACTGCATTTGTCTGGAGACGGTGCCTTTCTAGAAGGATCGTTGAAAAACTGTTGGAAGTCCTGGGGAGGCTCGGGATGGGAGGTGATCCAGTCTGATTCCGAATGCAAGGTAATGGGTCCAAACAGATCATTGCCTGGCTTGAAGGCTTTGTTTAGCAAACGCCGTTCGCCAGCATCTAACTGCTCATACTGTGACACAAGCGTTGGGTTCTTTGAGATGAGAGCTGTTTTTAGAGTCTGTTCAGAGTGCTGTACTGTTTGCATCTACCAGGAAAACACAAGTAATCAAATATACAATGCATATCCACTCCGGTGACTTTAATCTGCCTATCTTCCACATACATCTCTAATTTCTCCCTAGAATAGAAAAACTGATTGCTTTTTTGTTGTTACTATTATTCGTACCAAATAACTGTTTTTCTTCCCCATTTCCAATCAATTTCTTGGGGAGGGTATCTGAAAAAGTGAAAAGAAAAATCATGACGTTCATTCCTCCTTCTCTTACGGAACCTGCTCCCGTTTTAAAAAACCATTAAGAGAATGACCTGATTTCCTGTTTCCTTCTGTCCTTGGGGCAACAATATTATGAACTGACTCATTAGGGCCACATGAAAAATATTCATCTTTTCCAAGGTGACTCAAAGATATTCCAGACCACACAAAAAGAGAACTGAGGTAAGTCCTGCCATTTCTGTAATTTAACTGCAGGCTGGTAACAGACCTCATACACTGAGGTTTATTGCCTCAAAGTCTTGTCACCCTGGGGAGGACATCAGGTGACTAATCAAAAGCCAGACTCACAATGACAGGTCTCTTCCATTCACATCATGTTCCTCTGTAGGGGTGTCATTCTTTCTTCTAAATGCGTCAAACAGCTGTTCCACCACGAGGCTTTTGGAGTTAGAAAAGGAAAAAAAAAAAAATGGACTTCACTCTGGAACCTATCATCTTTCCTAATTCTCTAGATTTTTTTCCAGTTTAATGATTGACAATTGATGGGAATATTGAAGCTGACGTCTGTTCTGGTTGGACATCAGAATCCTGGGTTTCCAGAGCGAGGACGAAATTCCCAAACGGAGGTCACTATTGTTAAAGCTCTGATATGTGCATAAGATCGTCCTCACTGCTCCCCAACTGGGCTGACAGTTCACTTCTCCTACAGGACAAAATATCAAGCAAAATGTGCCCTCCTGTATCCTACCTACCTTTAGGGAGGTAGGCTCCCATCGAAGTTTTTGCCTTACAAGGACCTGCATGCCTGGGCCTGGTCGGGAAAGTGCTGTGCGGGGCGCCTTCCCTAACATTAAAAAGGCAGTGTGAAAGGTCGGCCTTCGGCCAGCCTCCCAGGTCCCCTCTGGGTGGAACCGCGGGAGGCAGAAGAGGATCACTCCTGTGGGTTGCAGGCCCGCAGTGCCCAAACCAGCACATCCTGGGCAAACCTGGACAAGTTGGCCACCCCCGCTGGTTGCTATAGAAACCCGCACCTTGGGCTGGGGCCCGTGCAACCGCGACCCGGCCCCTGGCTGGGGCGGAGTGGGGGAATCCCCCGGGGAGTCTCGCTTCGTCTTTCCGCCCGGAGGAAGCCTCCTCAAAGGGCCTTGCTCCCCGGAGACGCCCCCGCCCCCGCCGTCCTCCCCGGCTTCCGCCGCAGCGGCCCCGCCCACATCCTCACCCCTCCCCACCGACGGCGACCGTCCCCATCCTCCACCACCAATCCCCCAACCCGGGGGGCCACGGCCCGTATCTGACGGCTCCACCGCACTGCCCTCACCCCGCCAGGCCCGGACACCGCCCGCCTCCAGCGGCGGCCTCCGCGCGCCCGCACGTCTCGCCCTACTCCGTACCGCGCCCCCCGCCCCCCGCCGGCGCAACGCCACGCCCCATCGCGCCACGCACCGCTCCGCCGCTCCGTCGCGCCCCGCCCTGCCCCGCCCCCGAGCCGCACGCCCCGCCCTGCCCCGCCCCCGAGCCGCACGCCCCGCCCCGTAGCTCGCGGCTGCCTGGCGGGTTGGCGCTCCAGTTGGGGCGGCAGTCACGGTCATGGTCTCCGCAAGCTGGGGAGGATGGCGAGGTCGCGAGGCGTCGAAGTCAGTCCCCACGGCCCCCTTCTTACCCCTGGTCTCCGCGGGGGCGCAGCCACTGGTCCCTCCGGGGCCGCGCTGGGTCCCGGGGCAGCTGGGGCGGGGTGCCCCCGCCGGAGGCCGTGTCTCGCGGCCTCGCAGGTTTGCCTGGTTGCGAAGGTGCTCAGGGCCCCGCGGGTTTGAGGAGCGCCCTCGGCGTGACTAATGTAACCAGCCGGGTCCAAAATAGGTCAGCCGTGGCCGCAGGTTGACGTAGGGCCTGGGCGCGCGCCCCGGTGCCGTCGCCCGCTGGACTTTCCCTTCTGCGGCTGCAGCGCCTGCAGCGGCCTCCATGCGGCCGCAACCGCCAAGCGCAGGTGGAGCGCGCGGAGGGGGGCGGCGCGGAGGCGGGGGCCGGGCCTGGCGACGCGCGCAGTGTTTGTCTCCACCCAGGGATGCGTCCCTCGGAGCCACGCTGGTGCTGGAAAGGCCGAATGCGTGTGCCGAGGGAAGGAGAAAGGGGCGCGCGAGCGTTAGCGCTGAGCCGGCTGTGTGGCCTTGGCTAAGTTAACCTGTCTGGGCCTCATGGTTCTTCTGGGGGAGATGAAAGGAGCCAGCTCTCACCCCTAAAGCCTCTTCAGCCCTGGGAGGTTGTATATGAAAGCAGAGGATCCCCTGGCCCACCCCTCTATAGCCCCTTCATGCATCCCGGTGCCCAGCAGACGTTAGGACACAGTATGTGGTCAGGCTGGCTAAAGCCCCTCGTACTGCCAAGGGCAAATCCCAACCTAATTAATCGCCATCCCCTCTCCCTTCAAGGGTATGCGCCTCCAGCAGGCCGCCAAACAAGCCCAACCCCCACCCCTCATACCCTCCTTCCTTTCCAGCTCAGTTCAGTCTTACCCAGGTTCACCACATGCTCTCCACTCCTTTTGACTCAGCAGCTTCCTACAAAAGAACCCCGGAAAAACCCTAGTCCATTATAAGCCTGTTTCTTCACACCTCCACCGTTTCCCACAAGTTCTCTTCCCAAGACCTCACCTTGAGGGACACTCGACTTTCTTCCCTGAACATCACTTCTCCCCTCCCAGCCTTCAATCAAAAATACTCCTGAGCCCCAGTTTTCATTTCCAAGCCATTGTCCTGCTAGGACAAAGCAACCTCTATTCTTTTGAAGTTCAGGACATGTTACCACACTCTGCTTTTTTCTTCATCCTAATTGTCCTTCTCACTCTCCAGGAAGGATGCACAGGTTTTCTTGAGAACTTCAGCCCTGTCTGATGGTTACCTTCTCCACCCTTAACCCCTTGTTGTCTCTCCTTAGAGGACCGTAACTTAATAAATGTTTCATCTTTTCAACTGCAGTGATCACCTCGGTCTCACATTTGTTTGCGCCCCCTTGGATCTTGAGATGTCCAAATTCATTCTTTGACCACAGTGCCCATTTCCACCCGTACTTGAACCCATTCTTCAGTAAAATGCATTCATATCATGCCTGGTCTCAAAGTTTAAACTGAGAACATCAATGCATCACTCCCACTGTGCCTGAGATCCTGCTTGGCTTTCTTGGATGTTGTGCCTTTTGACTGAATCCCTATCTCCAGAGATCCCAAAAGTCAGTCAGTGTAGCACAGAGGCTAAGATGATGGTCTGGGTTTGAACGCTGGAACCCTTGTTCATTAGCATGTGGCCAGCATCTATTTTTTAACCTTATGCATCTCTTCCCTGGTTTGTACAACAGATAAAAATAACACAGACCTTCTGTAGTTTTAGGGATCAAATGAGTTACATCGGACATTTTACCTTTTGATCCACTGGCCTTCTGACATCCTGAGAAGCTTCGTTGAGCTCAGTGTTCACCTCTCCCGTAGAGCTCTCCCTAACGCCACCTTCTGCAACCCAAAACTCCCTCCTTCTGCAATGTTCATTGCCTTGTGCATATTGCTATGATTGTCCTTATCGAAATAATCATAACTTAGTTCTTCAGTGTCTCCCTTTCTAAACTGTGAGATACTTAAAGGTAAAGACTTTGATTCGAGGTATCTGGAACATAAAAGTTATTCATTGGCTTTTCATTCAACTCATGTATTCATTAACAAGAATTTTTTGTTTTTTTCATTTAAACTGTTTAAATTCACTTTCTGGATTAAAAAAAAAAAGACTTTGTGGTTGCCCCCAAGTTTTAGAAGGATATGATATTGCTGTACAGTCTCTAAGTATTTAATACTTATTGTTTAAAAAATTTAGTACCCCATGTTCATTAAGTTTTATTTTTAGAATAAAAAGAATATATATCATATATATAATATGTAATGTATATTTATATAAAATTTTTCTCTGAACCATTTGAGAGTAAGTTGCAGGCATGATGTCTCTTTCCTCCTAAATACTTTAGCATATATTTTCTTTCTTTTTTTTTTAAAAGATTTTATTTATTTATTCTTCAGAGACAGAGAGAGAGAGAGAAAGAGAAGCAGAGGGAGAAGCAGGCTCCCAAGGAGCAGGGAGCCCGATGCGGGACTCGATCCCAGGATCCTGGGATCATGACCTGAGCCGAAGGCAGACACTTAACCATCTGAGCCATCCAGGTGCCCTGCATATATTTTCTAAAACCAAGGACACTTTCATAAATAATCACAGTACAATTAAAACACACCAGTATGAACTCATGTGATAATTGTACCTCCTCACCCTGCCCCCCAACCATTTCCCTACAATCTCTGAATTTTACTCACCAAGATTCCACTAGAGATCCATTTAGATTAGCAACCTATGTATTGTTCATTTTCCTAGTTCTCTGATTTTCTTTAAAAATTACTAAATATATGAAAATATTCCAAGTACATTTTTTTTTAAAGATTTTATTTATTTATTTGAGAGAGAGAGAATGAGAGAGAGAGAACACCTGAGAGGGGATAGGGTCAGAGGACGAAGCAGACTCCCTGCCGAGCAGGAAGCCCGATGCGGGACTCGATCCAGGGACTCCAGGATCATGACCTGAGCCGAAGGCAGTCGCTCAACCAACTGAGCCACCCAGGCGCCCCAAAGTACATTTTTAAAAGCCAAATCATACTGAAAGGGTTGTAATGAAAAGTAACAGCCCCACCCCATAGGCCAACTTCCAAGAGGCTCTCTGATGTGTTCCCTGGTATTTTTGTCTGTATTTCCGAACAGGATGCATATAATGAGATTTCTTGATCCATTGGTTTCAATCTATTGATTTGTTGCCATGATAGATGGGGGCTGACCGCTCTTACGCATCCTCACTCTGCACACCTCCCGCTCTCTGCCAATATAGTTATATCACAACTCTGGATTGACTCTGTAGTCAGCGCTTCCATTGTGATAATTATTCATTGTTTGCTGCAGAGCAAGCAATGTACTATGACCGTGCTTTCTTCCTTTTCTTTTAAAAATCTTTTATTTAGGGGCACCTGGGTGGCTCAGATGGTTAAGCATCTGTCTTTGGCTCAGGTCATGATCCCAGGGTCCTGGGATCGAGCTCTGCATCGGGCTCCCTGCTCCACGGGGGGCCTGCTTCTCCCTCTCCCTCTGCTTCTCCCCCTGCTCATGTTCTCTCTCTCTCTCTGTGTGTCTCGAATGAATAAATAAATCTTTAAAAAAATAAAAATAAATAATAAATAAAAATCTTTTATTTATTTATTTGGCTGGGAAGGGGGAGCAGAGGGAGAGGCACAAGCGAATCCAAGCTGAACGTGGAGCCTGATGTGGGGCTCGATCCTGCCACCCTGAGATCATGACCTGAGCCAAAATCAAGAGTCGGATGCTAAGCCACCCAGGTGCCCCCATGCTTGCTTTCTTGTAGAACTCTATTTTCACCTGGAGTTAATCATCATTTCCTTTCTGTTATTTGATTGATTTTCTTTTTTAAATTATGAAAGATCCATTTACCAAGTTTCTTGGGCCTCCTCTAATTCTTTATTGTTAAAAAAATGCTTCATCATCTCTGTTACACACTTGTCAATATTTTTCTACATAGCCTAAGCACATCAGTTGTTTGTTTCTGGGAGCCTTCCTTCTGCAGCTCTCCATCCCCTGTTCCCATCTGAACCGATCCTCTCTGGGCCTGCTGTGTAGCTATGACCCTGGGACTGCAACTGTACTCTTCTGTGTTGGATCGTTTCTCTTAAATTCTGTGTCTTCCTCCTTCTTGGTTTACTCCTTTGGTTGTAGTAGCACATGCCCTAGATCCTTTTGGAGTAAAGATACATAGAAATAAATATTTTGAAACCTTGCATATCTAAAAATGTTTCTAGTCTACCCTCATACTTGACTGAGAGTTTCCCTGGACTGGTGTGGAATTTCAGGTTGAAGATCATCTTGCCTCAGCGTTGGGAAGGGTTTGTTCCATTTTTTCTGACTTGCAGTGATTTTGATTCCTAATCCTTTGTATGTTACCTGCTTTTTTTTTTAGTTTTAGTTTTTTTAGGAAGATCTTGGAATCTTCCCTTTCTCTTTAGAGTCCTGAAGAACTCTATGGTTCTTAAGTATATACATTTTTAAAAATTATTTATTTTTTTTTCAAAGATTTTTATTTATTCACTCGATAGAGAGAGAGACAGCGAGAGAGGGAACACAAGCAGGGGGAGCAGGAGAGGGAGAAGCAGGCTTCCCGCTGAGCAGGGAGCCTGATTCAGGGCTCGATCCCAGGAGCCTGGGACCATGACCTGAGCTGAAGGCAGATGCTTAACGACTGAGCCACCCAGGCGCCCCTAAAAATATTTATTTATTTAAGTAATCTCTACACCCAACATGGGGCTTAAATTCACAACACTAAGATCAAGAGTCACATGCTCTTCTGTTGGAATCAGCCAGGTGCCCCTATAAGTTTTTTAAAGATGTGACCTGGTCTGAGCCCTTTTTTCCCCCATTCATTTTGTTGCTCACTCAGTAGGCTCTTCAATCTTGAGTCTCTTATCCTTCCATTCTGAGAAATTTCTTTCTCTCCATATTTGCTGGATGTGGGACTTTCAAGATGGATCCTCTCATTTTCTTATCTTTTCTTTAATATTTTTCCATCCATCATTTTGTACTATTTTCTGAAGCTTTCTGTCTTTTGAGTATTTTTTTTTCAAACATTCTATTCTTTAATAGCCAAATGCTCTTTCTTGTTCTGAACATTTATTTCACACCTTTTCTCATTTAGTGGGTAAAATGTCTTCTCTTGTCTCTCTGTGGATATGAACTATGCTACTTCTGAAGTTTAGTTCTGCCGTTTCCTCTGTTTGGGTCTTTTTCTTTCATGTTAGAACTTTCCACAAACATCTGATGATCCTTGACTATCTGTTAAGCTTTCATCATGAGGCACACAAAGCTGGTTGATGGTTTTGTGTATGTGAAAGCAGATTATCCACTGGGGGTT